ATAAATATTATTTTCTTTGAATCAACTTAACTATCGTACAGAAGAACTGGCAAACCAGAAAGCAAGTTTTCTTGTTCCTGGAGTGGGTCATGCAACCAAGGTATCCATGGGAAAAAACTAGTACTTCTAAGAACTTATGAGTAAAAGCAAAGAATAATATGTTATATCAACCACATTACACTTGTCATATCCAGTTATAACTGGGCCAGCTAGGATACAACAAACATAAGTGGTCTGGACTGCAGTTATATCATTAATTTTCATGAACGACTGTTATGATATGAACCAGATTAAGTAAGTGGATTGTAATTATTATCAATGTTATTTAAGTTATTTACAAATGAGATTTTTTAATCATAATGATCAATTAGAATTATGTATTATATTTCTAACACCAATTATTTATGTGAATTAACTTTACTATGATTCAGAAGAACTGGAAATTCAGCAAGTTACGACTTCTTGATCCCATAGGAGGTCAGGCAACCACAATATAATGAGAGAAACCTACATTTACACACACTTAAATATAAATAGGTTTGCTGCTCTAAATAGTCAACTTTTTTTATTTTAGTCAATGATATGTTAAATAAACAAACAATTTTTTTGGATATATTTTATGAATATTAATATACCTCAAAATGTTAAAATTTCCCTTTAGAACTATAGTTTAGGTCAAAGCAATTTTTGATCAAATATGACAACATTATTCTATAAGACCACAACATGACCAATGACTTCTATAGGCTGCTAATATACATATTCACAAAATAAACCCAAGAAAATATATAAAGCTTTTCATTTTGAACAACCGAAAATCTGTTTAAAGACAATGGATTAAAAACTTTAGAGCTTTACTATTGTTTTTTTAACCGATGAATACACAAAAGAATTTTCACTGAAGCAAACACATAACATTAAGATACTAACACTGGCACTTATGCTAGTTTTGTCTTTTACACTTCTTTCATTACATAGTTCCCACACTTCTGTTACAAACTTATTTAAGTAGGAGAAAAAATACCTGAATCATCACTTGATGAAATTTCCTTAGATGCCAGAGTATCAACAGCTTCTCTGATTTCCCTTTTGGAAGGATTCTGTCCTGCCACATTGTCCACACCAGAAGGTTTATTATTTTTACTTTTTGCTTCTTCACTAGAAAGTTTGTTGTTTATATTATCTTGTTCTTCACTATTACTTTTATCAATTGTAAAATCCTTTTCTTTACCACAGTCTTTATCTATGCACTGTTTATCCTCTCCACAACTTTTTCCATCTGTACATTCCTTATCCTCCCCACAATGTTTCCCATCTGTACATTTTTTATCCTCCCCACAATGTTTTCCATCTGTACATTCTTTATCACCATCAAAACTTTTCCTATCTGTACATTCTTTATCCCCGCCACAATGTTTCCTATTTGTACATTCTTTATCTTCACCACAGTGTTTACTATCTATGCAGGTACACTGTGGTGAGGATAAAGAATGTTCTGATGGTAAACACTGTGGTGAGGATAAAGAATGTTCTGATGGTAAACACTGTGGTGAAGAAAAAGATTGTACAGATAGAAAACATTGTGGTGAGAATAAAGAATGTTCTGATGGATTACACTGTGGTGAGGAAAAGGAATGTACAGATGGTAAACATTGTGGTGAAGAAAGGGAGTATCAGAACATTCTTTATCCTCACCACAATGTTTACCATCTGTGCATTCCTTTTCTTCACCACAATGTATTCCATCTGTACATTCCTTTTCTTCACCACAGTGTATCCCATCAGAACATTCTTTATCCTCACCACAATGTTTACCATCTGTGCATTCTTTTTCTTCGTCACAATGTATCCCATCAGAACATTCTTGTTTTTGGCTATAATGTGTACCATTTGTGTATTCTTTTTCCTCACCACAATGCTTACCATCCACACATTCCTTCTCTTCACCACAATGTATTCCATCTGTGCACTTGTTTCCTTCATCGCAGTGCTTATCTATACAAGGTTGCTGATCCTCACCACAATGTTGATCATCTGTACAAGACAATTGTTCATATCCTTCCCCATTGATAATGTTTATACCATCACCATGTACTTTTTCTCTGTACTCAAGGGAACTCATCAGCCCATCATCACTTTGCGTGTAGTGTATGTCCATAGGTTCAAGTGTGTCCACTTCCTAAAAACATGAACAACCAAGATATTTATAAAAATACAACCTTTATTAAATTTTTATATTGACAGCATTGAAATATACAAGCTTATATTTATCACAGCTAACATTTACTATCTTATAGCTTTGTCATGCAATATAGCTTATTACATTTGTTAAAACACTCAATGGCCATTGACTGTTAATTTTAAGCCATTTTCATTGATATTCCTTCTTATATGGCATTTCATTCTAAATAATTTTCAGATATCTACAGGTGTACATTGAATTGCTGCAAGGCAAGTTTGAGAATTAATAAATTATAATATGCTTTTATTAAATTCTGGAATTATTATAAATCACTGGAAATAAACATGCCATGATTTTTTAAATCTTCTTGTTTAACTAAGACTGCATCTCACACCATATAAGCCTTACAGAAAGTTACAGTAATCTAAAACTGAATTGTAAAAGTCTTTTAACAAGATATATAGAAAACTTATAAAGCACTTTGAAAAACAGCTAATACTTAAAGCTTAGTCAATATGGCTATGATGAAACAGTGATCATAACATTACTCCAGTTTCATGTAAGCATTAAATTGATCTCAATCGGCTGTCAGTTATGCATTTATTTCCAAATCACACATTGAAAATCTAGCATTCAGTAGACTAGGGGCTAGAATTGTGTCACCAATGGTAACACAGCAAGTAAGCCCATAAATTCCAACATGATATTTTGTCTCCTTTCCATGCCAGTACGTTAACTGTTCTGCTTTAGATCAAAGATACTTCAAAAAAGCATTAAATGTAGCAACATTTGGGTGTCCAGCATAAAAATGGGTATTGTTATCACTATTCATATTCTCCACACAAAAAGTTGACTGTTACAGTTTACCCTTTTCTTCTGTAAGGGTCTTAACTTTGCATAAAAGTTTCTGTACTAGTTTCTTTTGCTGTTTCTACCTAATTTCAGTAAGGTTTGCAAAGTACATTGTAAATATATCAGCTTTTCTGTCTGTACTAACAGTTAGATCTGTTACTGAATTTATTGTTTTAGGCAATAATGCATGAAGTCTCTGATCAACTGAGCTGTTTACATTCTGTGTTTCATAACTTTAATATATTAGAAAAAGGTTGCAAATGTTTATGATGGTCATGATCAGCTACATGCATCAGTGTTGAAGAAGTGTTACATGCCAAATCTACAATAATCTGATCTGACTGGAAGTCTATACTGCTTATCTCAATCTCATTTTGCACATCATTAATATCTATGGGATTAATAAGTTTATCTAGTCATTTTTTGTATTTATCTATTTATTTTGGGTATCAGATTTGACAACTTGTAAAAAGTCTATATACAGCCCACTTACTAGCTACAGTTGTTCTCTTTAGTGTCTGGAACTGAGATGGGACAAAAAAATAGGTTCACTTATGGTGTCTAATTAACATGAGTAGGATCTTCACATTTACACTCCATCACACTTCAGTATTTTCAGTCACAACAAACATATTTTTAATGGCAAGTGAACAACCTGTAGCATGAATTCAAGTATTTCTTCTACAACTAACCACAGAACAATAATCACGCCCTTCCATTATTCACTCATAACAATCACATCAATTTTTATTGGATTATCTTTTGACAATTATTATTGTTGTGCATAAATATATTAATCAATTAAAATGGTGCCTCAGGTAAACAATATGAACATATGATTATTACAGTTCAACGACAGCTCCCAGCTGATAAACTAGTAAGTTTCATGTGATTTTGTTTTGCAAAAGTAGAGTACTAGCAATCACAGCATTCACCAACAGATTTACCTTGTTTTTAACAGGACCTATTTGCCATACAGTGTGCCCAATTTATGCATTATTTTTCCTCTCTTAAATGTTTTCCACCTGTACATTCTTTATTCTCACCACAATGTTTACTGCCTGTACATTCATTTTCTTCATTATAATGTATCTCATTAGAACATATTATATATCTTGAAAAATATTTTTCAGAATGATTAAATTTGTGTTCCATTTCTCTCTATTAAACCCTGATTGACATGAAAGTGACCTCGAACTTGTACATATAATAAAACACTATTTAAATATAACATATTCAATACTGAGTAAAGCAAGCCAACTTGAATTGCACTATTTGCAGGGTTGAATAAATTTTTGATATTAGTTAATCAGGAAATATGCTAAAGATAATTTGTACCACAAAAATAACTTTTATTTTTATATTGAAAGAATAAAGTTTACGTACCTAAAATGTCAATATTAAAGAGAGAAAGAGAAACAATTTGCAACATTAATTTTTAAAGTCTATTTGTTTAGAATATATGCTCAAAGCTAAAAATTGCTGTCTGCCCATAGCCATCACATAACTTTGAGTTCATACAACAGAAGGAAGACAGCTAGTCCACAGCACCCACGGCTAACTCTAGGGTAGATTATCACTTGTATAGCATACAACACATGGCCCTAAAGTATGGAAAGCATTTGTGTGACAACAAGACACAAAACATAAATGTTTGGATTCACTATTAGACGACACACACACATCCAATATTTTATTTGCCTCTTTAATGAAGACTGAAAGAAACTTATTCATACTTTGACCATTAGAAGAAGCATGCTCATTCAAAACAACATTTATTTTGATATTGCATTAAATCTTGCTGTGTAATTTCAGAAGTCAATTCTTTTGTTTTGAAGATTGTTTGATACTTGAAGAATAATTTATCTAAATATTCTACCCAGTATTGTGGAAAATGATGTATAAGCAGGAGAAATTGACAATATAATTAATTGTATTTGACACTCACAACCCGATTAACCCTCTTGCCACAGGCATCAATTTTCTGTGCATGTAACGAGGTTTTAGTGAATTACATTAAAAATTTAATTAAAGTACTTTATTTTCATGGTATACCAATAAATATAGGATAAAAACATAGCTACTAATCCATATTTTAATAGTAAATAAATTTTAAGTTCTTACTTTTATAAGACAATATTTTAAAAATCTCGAATTTCACCTAGTGTGAAAATTGTGATATTAGCTCTCTACCCATCCCCTCTTTTCTAATTTATTTAACACATCTCCAAAAAAGAATGAAATTTTTCCTAAATTACTTATTACAACATCATCATTTCTCAGGCAAAGCATAATTGTCATAGTCTTCAATCTTATTTGGTTACAGAGCTATCAAAGATATAATTAGACCACTCTTGCCACTCCCACCTATCACATTTTTTTCAGAAATTACCAATAGTTCTCTCTGACATTCAATACTATATCATTTATAACAAATAGAAAGCCAAAGTTTTCATTCATCAAATGACGTATTATATTGTGTTGTTTTCTGTAAAGATAACTGCCAATTTCACTTTCAGTTCAAGCTTGATTCCCACAGGAAACCCATAGACGAGTTTAGATGAATATAATTATTATATAATTATTTAGTGCAGTACTACCATTAGTATAAAAAAGTAGGATTAAGTGTCATCAACAATCGACAGCAAAAAGAAAAAGAGGAGGACCCAGGTAAGTACTTTTTTTGCTTTTAATGTGTATTCTATATTTATTATTATAAAGGTAACTAACATATAAAAAAAAGGAATTTTTTTGTGTTAGTTAAGATTATATTAGGTGAAATAAATAACAATACAAAAATTGTTTCACAAGATACACTCATGAGCAGCTTGTGTGTAATGTAATTTTATAGAGTAACATGAGCTGCACATTTGCCAAGTGATTTACAACTTATAATGGCATGACTAGTAGTTAGACAGGGTTCAAAGAGCAATAAAACAATAACATTTAAGTATAGATAGATGTATATGTTATGAGTGTAAAGCTATTTAGGATAAATAAATTTAGTTTCATATTACAATTTGAAGTCATTCTAGAAAGAAAAAAAAAGGTTATACAGATTTATTTCTATTTTTCTTTTGATGGTTACAAGGTCAGTCAAATTGAACAACCTTGTATAAAGTTAGGGTAGAGAAAATAACGGATAAAAACAAAGATTACACAAATAAAAACCGAGATTTTTGAGATGAAGAGAGTATTTTTAATATTAAAGTGTAAATCACTTATTACTAGGCCTAGTATATGGAAGTACTATATATATTCATGGACAGATCTTTAGTGAAAATACTCCATTAAAAAATCCGATTTTTTATGTACAAAAGACTTGTAATGTTTACTAAAAGTCTGCCAAATTTTGTGAAGATACACAATGTGTATTATAAGTTATAGATGGAGACTGTAACAAGAACAAAATGGTTAGAGGTCAGTCGATTCGACCAATTTTGTAGTGAGAGAATTAAATTATAGTGGTTCATTCTCCAACAAATATTTACATTTTCTTAATAGATACTTAATTAGTTAAGGGCATGAATTGTTTGTTAAGAATTTTAATGCAAAGCTACACCTGCTATATGTACATAGCCATCCTTATATTTGAACTGACAGAAGAGGGAAGGAAGCTAGTCAACAGTACCCAAATACAACCCCTGTGCTACAACTTCTCTGATTGGATTTTTTAACTGTCATTTTTATAATGCATCCTCAGCCTCATAGCTCAAGGTGCATTTTTGTGTGGATTAAGTAAGGGAATGTGAAATACTAAGCCATATACATAGCCCATTATATGTATGAAGAACAAAACACACTGATAAACATTTAATAGAAATAGCTAAACTTCCGATTTTTTTAATGTTCCCATATATAATGAAATGCTCTTACAATTTCTACTTGTGAGAGAGTAGAAATATTTCAGATTTTTCTTTTTCGAAATTACGGATCAAATTGATCATAATTATGAATTTTTTTTTTAAATATTGAATTAATGTTGCTTAGTTATTAATTTAAATTTTGAAAAGTACACTACTGTAAAATCTTGTATCTTATAGTATGTTCTTCTTTGTTTAATATGTGATTTTTTTTTCCACTTATTTCTATTGTTAAACATGACTGTGGGAAACCCATATACATTTGTTTTTACTCAAAAACAGTTGGGAGAAAACCATATACAAACATCATGATTTACCTACAAAATGCTAATTAAAGTTACCTCCTGTTCTGTCATATGAGACACAGTAGACTGATCCAGAGCACTCTCTGAATCGTCAGTTTCCATGGCTACAGAAGAAAGTTGTGAAGGCATTTCCACTGCTGATGCTTCTTTGCTAGATACAAGATTTGCTATAAGCTGTGCTGCCTGAGTGAGATCAAGGTCTACAACATGGAAGAAAAATATCAACATACACAATATATATATAATTATTAAATACTTTGATACGTCATAAAATTCTGCTTCATGTGTATCATTATCTAACCTGATAATAGTTTCTACTGCTATGACTGCTCTACACAGTTCGGGTTAAATTTGAAATATATTACCGTGTTTTCTCTTGCCATTCACCACTGACAAATAATGCTTCTGAATGAGAATGTAAAGTTCAGGTTAACCACTACAATGGCAAAAACATTTCCCAGTGCAAAAATCTATGAAAATTAGGCCTAGATTGTAATAAAAAGCAACAAAAGTTTCACTAACAGAAACTGTAAATTAACTGTCATTTTATTATATGGATAATCAATATAAAATGATGTTAAATATTTGAATTTTCTTCCTTTCCATGAAAAATTCATATACAGGTAAAATGTTCTTTTCCATGAACATCATTACATGAACACGACTGTTCATAATTACAATGTTTTAGAAACTTTTGAAAAAAAAATTCCACCTATGTAGACTGACCAGTGTTCAAGTGTCACCATTCACTGTTCAATTACTATATGATTATAAATGTTACATCTTACAAAACCAATAAAAGTGTACTATGTTTTATTACTTGTATAAAAATAACTTTTGATACAAAGGTGTATATTGTGTAGCTTTTTCAGAACAACAGCTCTATTACAGTGTTGTATAAGCTAGGTTGATAGTGATATAATTTCTATTACTATTATGTTTTTTTTATTTAAATTGAAATAAACTGTAGGATAAATCACAGCTGCCAAAGAATCAATGTCTTACATAACAAACGTATTTGTTTTCATATAAGGTGTCTTTTCTGCATAATAACTATTTTACAAATGTATATGAATATTTTCTAAAATAATTACAAAACGTGACGAGGAAGGAAAGTTTTACGTAAAAAAGTTTAGGATAAATCACAGCTGCCAAAGAATCAATGTCTTTATCACTGAGATTTAAACAGATCTTGAAGGAAAGTTTTACGTAAAAAAGTATCAAGATCTATCTAAATCTCAGTGATAATATAAGAACTATCAGCTATTGATTGTTATGTTCAATCTTACTTCCAATTTATTTTTTGCCTATGGATAATATAACTAATACCTATCAAATTTTCTCAAAATAATTTCATTCAGGAGCTGATAACCACAAACAGGTACTATAAGAACCTCATTCAACAGATGCACTAACATTTGTGAGCTCTATAAATTCTGAAGTGAATTGAAAGCAACTTAAAACTGTTGAATACTGTGTCACTACTTTATCTTCTTTTTATATACATGTAGTTAGCTAGTTATTATTAAATACATGTAACGCAAAATGTATAAACTTTTTTATTACTTAACTACATTTACAAAGCAATTGTGATATTTAGTGGATGCGATTCACTGATTTGTTTTGAGCTAAGTTTCAGAAAAACAATTTTATAGTCTGTTATCATCACTGGTCCTGAACTACTCTCTGAAACAATCTTTCATATTCATGACTTTTCTACATGTTTTGAAAGATCTCACAGAAGTGCATTACTCTTTGGAAAATGTGTGTTTCACACTGTAACTGACTTTTTATTACTATCTGATGGAAATACCAGTATTAATCATATTTTACTTCTAACCTGATGCTCCAAGAATCAGAGCTTTTGCATGATTTATAAATGTTACACAATGTGCCAGGACATCATTTTTAAAGAGCACAATCATGCTCCTTTGTGCTTCTTAACTCTGTCCAAAGGGCATAAATAACAGCACTCCTTAAAATTCTAGGAGCATGCTACTCGTTGATGAGATTTTTCATTCTTTATTTTGATTGCCGAAATCAAGACACAAAAAATACAACTTTCCATCCAGTGCTGTCAAAAGTTATTGCATTGAACAACATCAACTGAACTGGCAAGTTGTGTGTATGTATGTATAATATTGGTTGGCATCGTATAGGGGTTATATTTCACGTTGAAATAAGTTATATGTTACACCTGCTCTTTCGTGGTGAGCATTCATGTTATATTGATGCTGATTGGCTCTGTTCTAGTCGAAGGCATTCTGTTGAACAATTAGAGTCTGTTGATCTCTGATGGAAATTTGTCTTAAAGGACATCAATTTGCACATGCATCATGAAATCATGTTAGCTTGAAAGCAAGTTTGTTACGTTATCAAAGTGAATGAAATCTTCATGTTTGCCATGCTGATTACGGGATTTTTAATTTTTGTTTTTATAAATCCCAAAATAATTTTTGTTCTGAGGAGAACAATTTGCTCTCCTTGTTAATTTAGAGAGAGCAATTTACAGTTCTCCTTTTACTTATTAAAATGAAGGACTGATATGCAAAAACTGATGAATAACTTAATTTTAAGTAGCAGATGCAAACATGGATCACTATTTACACAATTTATCCATACCAGTTGCAGCTAGTGCTTTCTGGTCAACTGAATCTCCAGCTCCTTCAAGAGATTCTGAAAGTTGAACACCTGTTGTTCCAATATTATCAGCTGTCACCAGGGTTTGGCTTGTTGTTGGTGCTGAAACGATCATCACCTTGGCCGAATTCCCAATGGCTGATATAGGAACCCCACTCAGAGCCTATTTGTAAAACATAAAGTTTAGGTTCTTATATTAATCTATCAACTGATTTTAAAAGATGACCAGAAGACAAAGAATAAGAAAAATGTACTATAGATAGTTGTTACAAGACCTCAATACAAAATATCTAATAGAATCATTCATCAACATACAATGCAGCTGAAGTTGAATTTTGCTTAAGATACATCAACAAACAAAAGGTAATTACCCAAGTACATAGCAGCAAAACTAGTATTCAAATATTTATTACAAAGATAGGGGAACTTATTTGTAAATACTATCACATCGTGTTAGGTCATGTAAGGAAATCTATGAACTTAAAAAAAAGAAGAAAAAGACTACAGTTTTAAGACTCTAAGTCTCACATGCAGAAAATATAACTGAATATTAAATTATACAACAGGACCACTGCTGCTCATGAAGGGGAACATTTATGTCATTATTTTACTGAAATAGGTCTTTTAGAACACAAATTAGGTATAATACTTCAGTAACTTTGTTAATTCAAGTCCAGACAAAGTTTAATTGTAGATTAAATTATCATTAAGTTTTATACTCAATAATAAAAAGTATGGTATTTTAAGACATTACATATAACTATATATATATATATATATATATA